TTATGCCTTCCAAGTTGATTCATTCTAACACTATCTCTCACTGAGTGAGGGTAAAAAACTTTTATTTGTATACTTTTTGGCGAGTGGTTGTGTAAACAGTTTGTGCCAATGAAAACTGTAGTCCGCCCGTGGTCCAAATAGATAAAAAAAGCACAGTTACCCAAAAAACTCTTTTCCTATAGCTGTATATACTGTGGTTATGGTTCACATGGTCAGAATACAGTAGTTCAGAAACAGTTATCAAATACAAACACAGTTTCGTGGACAAAAGTATTTATATGTTGAGAAGCAGAAAATACATCCATAAGTATATGGTAACAATCAGAAAGTCTAATATTGGCATGTTTTATCCTTCGAATGATCTAGTTAACGCGCAGACAGTAAGTATAGGTTTAAAAGGCAGGAAATTACTCAAATTAATATTTCAAAATACTCATATAATATAGTTTGAGGTATATGGGGATTTTATTCCCAAGGTTTTATTCATCACGGAAAGACATCATTTGGAGAACCAGTCAAAACAGGGGAGCACTGGGGAGGTGTTTTGTCCTAGTATGGGACTTTTTAGCTGGACGCATCCCGCCATCTCACCACCGCACTGCTGAGGAGTCTAGTACAAGGATGAAACAGCTATTCAATGTCCCCGGGTTTTCGATGATTTTCAAAATGGTGTCAGTCGGTGAGCGATTTAATCTTAAAAATTATTATCTAAAATTATGCACACATACTGTCACTTGGTAGTAAAATTTGCTAGAGTCACTTGCACGTGATCTCTTGCATTCTGGTTTACTCTCTACACTTTCCTGAAAAGCAATCTAAAATTGTCCATCCAAATTTGGTTACTGGTAAAATCCTAAAGTAACGCGAGCATTAGGTGGTATATGAACCCAGTCAAGTGACGAGTTATAAGTAGGAAGAAGCATGTATTTTAGTGTAGTAAGTAAGTCGGAAGGAAGCCCTGCCAGATAGAGGCTTCATACCCATGAGCACTCATCACCACAGTGTACAGGCAATCGCAATGAAACTCATGTTCCCTCGGTTACCCTTGGTTTTCTCATTGTTACAAGCAGGCCTTATTGTTGAACGCCAGCAACCATAAAATCTGGGGCTTCTTATAAATAAATTCCTAACAAGTAACATCAAATTACTGTGCACTGAAGTGTTGCTCCACTTCACTTACGGGTCGTATTACAATCTTGATCGATAGACATAGATCAGTGCTAAGCATTAAGGACTGGATAATCACACTGGGTACTCACTAGTGACCAGTTTATGCAGAAACATATGTGGTAACTGCAGCTCACCACATTAAGAAGTGCGAATGTATTTCAGGTACACACTTTCACATAGTACTGTCAGTAATAATATTCAGATTTAACTCCGTTATTAAACTTAAAAATATGTGAAACTATCTGTATGACAATGTTTCACATGAATTATATGTACATATATTCTTCTTCCTTATTTACACGAATATTTTTTCGTTCAAATGAATCTTTTGTGAATATATGAACAGTATCTTCGCCTACTAATTACAGTCGTATACCAGACGTTAGCATACAGTAGATATTGAGATTTCATTCACCAATTAATTGATGAAGGTTGTAGCACCAAAATTTTAGGAAATGTACAATATCAAAATAGAATATAGTACAATTACTAGATATATCACGAAGTTCGAATAGAATGTAGGTGTAATTTTTTCATCACTCTCAATTATCAGTATGAAGTGAAGTTTTACACGTGTATCTAGCTGTACTATTTACATTAATTTCCCAGGTAATATTCATGTGACTGAAGTAAAACCTTATGTATCTTTCCTGCACTGGGAGTATAATTGATTTACCAACTTTCTTTTTTCTAATGTAAGTTCATCAACACTTTCTGTAGTTAACCACGAGTTGAGATACCAGAATATGCACAGGAATGTTTATATCGTTAGGCGCATTAGTCTAGTTCAATTTACGGACAAATAAAAAGGAATCCTTAACAGTGGTCTGCATTATAAATGGATTTATAAGTTATTTAAAACCTGAATTAAATCTCCCTTAGTAACTTTAGTCACATGGCATAAACTTTATTCATAATTAATTAAGCCTGAAATTTATGCACCGTTTACATCATTAAAACGTCTTAGTCATTGAATATAATAAAATTGAAGCGAAATACGAAAATCTATTTCGTTCGTTTCTTTCAATCTACTTATTTTATGCCTGATTCACATGTAACGCCTGATAAAAAAGTCATATAATTAGTACAATCTCTGTCCGCATCTGGTTTAGTTTTCTGCACTATTTCATTCTTAATAATTAGTGAGGAAAGCTCCTATGCTTCAATGTTTATATCCAAAGCAGTCGGATTAGTTGATTAACTATAATCATTTCTAGTGGTTTACCTACAGCAAAGGTTAATGTTGGCCTAGTCAAAACCGAAATCATGTAACAGGCCAAGTTTATAACGTTTGTAAGGACAACTGATAAGTACAGACATTGACAGGAAGCCCATCAACATTACGAACACATGAACCCAGCGCAACTTCTTGAAGTATTCTAGTGTCGTTTAGCACATTTCTGTGGCACTACCCTAACTTGAGTTGACTGTTCAGCTTGCGAAGTGAAGTGCTTTTACACCGTCGGCAAATTTCTAATTAGCCCACATCGAAATGTTCGACAGAACTCGGTTAGCGCATAGGACTGGATAACAATTAATGTATCTAATCCAGTCCAACAGCAGGTCATGCACCTCCGGAATAACTGGGCGGCAAAATCTCAGACTTCTGCAATAAGTGGTTTAGGTTTAAATTTCAGTTGACTTCAAGTTGTGGAAAGGGCTTACTGATGAATGTCAACAAGCAGGAAACCTATATCCAGGAATTCTTAGCAACCACCTCCAACCGTCTAACATAAGTGTCACATGTAGTATGCAAGAAAATGAGTTCTATTTGGAGGCTTGTTAGGGTTTGTCTACTGATTTAAAATTGCTATTTATCATGGACTGACGTCATTTGGAGAAACACTGGTAACCTAGGAGCATTGGACAGCTGTTTCGCCCTAATATGAAACTCATATAACCCGCCAGGGATCGAAAAGGTTGTGCAAGTGTGTCATAGCTCTGGCTGACAGACATAAATGAGCTTACACTTGTAAGTTCATGAAAATATTATGACGGCAAACAATCACTATTGCAGTAAAGAACACAAAAAACGAAGGGTTAACGGGTATTATAGAATGAGAAATATTATGTAAAAGACAAATCCAGATGTCCATTGTGTGATCACTGCTATTATACTTAAGTGCACTAATTTTAGAGTCTTTGAAATAAAATAATTCTAATATTATACGCATCAGTCTGGTCCCAGCTTCTCTAAGAAATTGGTGAAATGCTGTTTGTCAGATCAGTGATTTAGACTAGTTAGCACAAAGGTTTAGGCAGACAACTGTTGTATTAATTTGTGGCACTACCTATAAGAGTAAATTCCTTTAAACAACCAATTTTCGAGCTGTGGATATACTTTAGTTCAGTTGTTGATCAAAGTTGTCTTATTTACTACATAATCGATCTCCTTTCCTTAAAATGTATTTGTTAGTAACTAAATTCAGGTACGCTATCCTGACTTAGATAGAGTTACAGGTTATATTTCATTCGTAGACAGTATCCAGGAGAGACTAGCAAAATACTTAACCTCAGGGAAGAGACTGGAGATTTCCTGCATTACTTCCGGCTGTAATCTTACTTCTGTTTTAGTATTATTCAGAATTATACTTATGCTACTCTCCACTTGTTTGTGAGTTACTGTAAAAGTTACAACAAATTGCAACCAGTGTGCCAACAGATAATCTTTTGTCACTGCCGGTGGTAATAAAGTGTGCTGTATTTCAGAAGTTATGTTTAAATGCGTTCTAAACTAGATTCCTTAGTCTCTTCGTTGCTACATTAATGAGTTAGTTAAGGGTTTCTTCTATAGGAGTGAAGCTAAAAAGTTATACAATTTATGTTATTGTAGTTGTTACACTAGTTTACCTGAACGTTTTGGCCAGACACTGGATATTATTTAGTGATAAAATAATCTGAAGGATAGATAATTGTCCAATAAAAGTAATAAAGGAGTTGCTTTCTAATTAATATCACGCCCTGGATTTATCTGGCAGTTCATTGCAGACTGACCTGTAGATTTTACTGCAGTTAGCAACGTTAAATGAAGGAAAATTTGCAGCAAACTGATGTTAAAACTATGTAGCATCAAGTATCGACTTACAGCATAAGTACAGACTTAAATCATAGGCTTTTCTCATGAAGAATCTATTGATTTTGGAGATAAAAATACTGCTCACTATAGTGAATAATCTCTGAAGAATATCCATCTAACCAATTTCTTTAGTTAGTGAATGTTAAGTATTTTTATTGCATACAATCGGCGAACGATTTATATGTACGAATGCATAGTTGTGATAATGAATTCTATACTGCTGGTTAGGGGATGCATCCTAGACTAAGATCGCTTAGGAATTACTGTTTGTTTGACAGATATGTTCCTTCGTTTTTAAATTTGTAAATGTTACTGACGTTGTTATCTATCCGTGATACACAGATTCTCATCCAGATAGTTACTCTATTTTATGTGACGTCAAAGAAGTCTTTTTTCTTATGTATCACCAAATTGACTAGTTTATTTAACTCTAAAATTAATATCGCTTAAAGGATAGTATTTTGATATTTCAGGTGAATTTTATTAACTGTAGACAACATTCAAAATTTGTCAGTTCAGCAATTTTTGTATTTTGACTCGAGGGACTCATTTCAGAAAAACTCCCACTTATTACTAGGTTTACAAGTGAATTCAAGACGCGAAGGAATAACAATGATTTGTTTCTCAAAAATATGGGTTGTTCTCATGATAAACATTTTTGAAAAGTCAATCATTTAATATTATATGGAATTGTTTATTTTAGTCTTGTTTTAATTGCAATCATTTCATCTTTTCACTTCTCCTCTGCTTTCAGCGATAATGAACTAGCTACTGGAATATATCCGTATATTTTGCCACTTTCTATTTTTAATACGTCGAAACTTCCAAAGTGCCAAATGTTTATTAACTCATTATGCTTACTGAATATAATAATCCCTGCATCTTTATGTCTTATGGGAAGTCCACCAATAAATTTGCCTCCATGTCTCAATTCTGGGACGAGAACTACTATTAATGAACGATATGGGTAAGTTGCAAGGTTGAATAGTTTCTTTTATTTTTGTGAGCTGTACAAATTTAGACAGTTATAGTTTGATGAGAACCTGCTTTGAGATTCTTGTTGGATTGATGAAGAAAGATTCAATTCATGCTGTTTTATACATAATAGTAACCATTCTTTTTCAAAGTAGCCTTTATAAGAGGTCTTTGGAGATGAGGAAATGGTGTGCAAATATTTGCACCATATTCTGAGTCATTTAACCCTGAGGTTTGTATGCATTATGACTTGCTATGTGTTTCGCGAACACTGATTCATAGTGTTTGTATTTACAAACCGTTAGTGAACTCTCAATTGAGTGAAGGTAGTTGCAAACAAACTTTCTTTAGGTATATTTACCATGAATTTAATATATTGGATAGTTTTAAGTGAGGCATCCAGTGTTGCTCTAACCTCATGGTCAACAATCATTCATACTGTCAACTGAATAGAATGAGTCAGTAATGATTCTTCATCCTCAAAAGTAGAAAACACTCAAGATTTCCATTTTAATAGTTTTTACTTCATCATTCTAAACGAAAAGTTGTGATAATGGACATATAAATACAACCGTCAGTGTGTGAAAAGAGCTGATAAATGCTTATCTCCCTTTGAATTTAATTTACTTGGGAGTGGCTAGTAGTTAAATCCGGGACGCGCACGTCGTTCTTTTTGGGACTTATAAGCTGAAGGTACTTGCATTCAGGTTAGTGATGGTGTTCTCACTAAGACTCAGAACCTATCACTTAAAAGGCCAGAGCACTATCCACTGGGCTGTTGAGTTACTCTTTGTGCAAGGGGTATCCTTTGTTACTAGTAATTTCCCGTTGCTTTAAAAGCTTAGTGATGTAATCTTATCTGTTACTTGACATACTGAGCGCATATTATTGGTAGTAATAGATTATCCTATCACAGTCATATCAAAATCAGAAAAACTACTGTAATGTGAAGTCACATTCTAGCATAGTGAAAAAATTCTATGATTATGACAGTTTTTTTTATTTCAGAAAGCTACATTCAATCGCTGTTTTTAAGTTTGAGTGTACAAACAATCGCTACAAACTACATTTACAGCTGAGGATTCATTATAAATGGTCAGTAATCTGTAGACAGCTGAAATAGGTACGATATACAGACATTAGATATCTGGAAATAATCTGTAAGTCATGTTAAAGGCGTATCTCTAACCTTGAGAAATTAACTACTTTGCAGATTCGAACCTGCATAACTCAGGGCTGAGGTCGTAAACACTCACCTGCAGGACTAGATTATGTCCAGCAAAAAGCAAATATCGGATTATTAAGTCATATATATATATATATATATATATATATATATATATTTATATATCCATATAAGTGTCACTGATGCTGGTGTCTTCTGTAATGGTCTCTGTTCAGTCGTTACATACGAGCTACAGCTACCTTGTTAGGAAATGTTATTACCTACTGGAAATTGAATAAAATGTTTTAAAATTTGTATGAATTTTTATTTGCAGTGCTTATAAACCTCCTATTTTATCACAGTTTCAGAAGTTTAGTGGTCCATTTGCAGAATCTTTTTGTCTAGGCGTAAAAACGTACTCACACTTTATCCTATATTATTATCCCTTGGAGGAGTAAAGATATAACTTCCGGTCTCTTTCATCTTATCTTTGTTTAGATATGTTGGTGACTGTTTTGGAAAGTTGATTTGAGCAATAGGAATCGGTTTCATTTACTCCTCTTCCAGTTGTTTAATCTTTATTCCTAGAGTGTCGATCTGCTTACGATTATGTAGAATTATAAGTGTAATTGGGCCAAAAGTTCCTTTGTGATAGTTTCTAGACTTTTTCATGTGTGTATATTAGAAGCAATCTTCCCACCCTACAAATATCTGTGCTATAATAGTCACAGATAAGTGACAGGATATTACTGACATATACGTTATGAAACCTTTAAAATATTTTATTGATGGAAGGCATTTGATGAAATTTATGACACTTCAGAATTTATGATATTTACTGCTTAATACAATCATTAGTAAGGCCATCAATATCTTTCTTTATTCATACCTTAGAATCTCGTTATTTTCTGTGTGAATTCATGCGTAGTAATGCACACCAACTAGTTTCTAAACTGAGATATTTCATGTCTGTGTGACAAATCCTCTGAGAAAAAATTTTCTTCATTTAACACCACAACAAACGTCATGACAACTTATTTTTATGCGTCAGCTTATGATGAAAAACAAGGTCAATAAAAGTTTGAGTTTTCTTTTAAGCAACAATACACTTCAGAAGAAGGCTTTCAGGATCTCTTGTAACCTATACAAGTTGTTTTATAAACTATAAAGTAGGATAAAAGTCGTTTTGTAAATAAAGTAGTGGAGTATGTATCGCAGAGGTGAGCTACGAAATCGTGTCCTTTGTATCCACATAACTGTAAAACTAAAGGGAGTATACACCTAACTTTAAAATCTTTTGACCTCCTCATAACATCTAGACACATTTTAGAAGTATTATTCATCATGGACTGACATCAGTTGGGGAACCATTAAAAATCTGGGAGCAATGGACAGCTGTTTCGTCCTAGTGTGTGAATCCCCAGCAGTAAGCACCCACGACCCGGCTAAGGATCGAACTCAGGACCTTCAGGTTTCGTGACGAAAGCGTTAACCATTCAGTCAATGGGTCGGTTTCCAGTGGTTCACAACTTATTTTTCTGTAGCTTCTACTTGAGTCTATGGAACTTACTCATAATGATTCGATGTAAGCCATTTTCAAGTTTACGGTTCTCATTTATAGGATCTTTCTATAGTGAAATGTTGGCATACGTATGTAATGAACAGGGGTTTGTAGGTTTTCGTATATTTTGTGAGTACGTTGTTTCAGCGGAATAAGAAAATCTTGAAAGAGAAGGAAGAAGAGATAAATATAAGCCAACGACTAAACAAGCACAGAGAATTGATTTCTATTTATTAATAAAAGACAACTTAAGTGAACTAATAAATCATATGAAGATGAGATAATGTGGATATCAGAAACAGTTTGTGCTGATGATATCTAGAACAAAAATGAAAGCTTCACGATTAAATAATCCGGCTCAGAGAACACAACATCGTCAAAGTTTGTCTTTTAATTTCACAGAAACATAAAACAATGGTTTAAGTTCTTTAAACTGTTGAAAGAGTTATATTTCCATATCAGAATGCACTTAGCATGGTATTCTAGTGTGATAACCAACACTTGGCCTTAATTCGTTTGAGATACTAAATAAGCTTATGGTTAACTTTATATTTTCTTCTTCTTGAGAGTTCATCGGCAGATTTCTAAACTAATTACAGTGTAGATTACACGACTTTAAAACATTTGAAGCATATTAACTAAAAATTCAAATGTAAATCTAATAGATTATCAACTCCTTTTGTACACATTTATTAGTTTCTCATTTACTGGCAATGTAAAAATTTTCTATCTTTCATGAAGTGCCCTATCATAGCTCTCTTTATATTTGATAGTAACTTATTATCAACTAATGTTTACATATTTTTTCATTGTATCAAAAAATACATATTCACAGTGAAGCTAAAGTTTAAACTTTTGAAATAGCTGAGTAGAATAACACATTTACGAAAGTATTTGAAAAGAACAAAGACAATTATGGGTGCAGGATAAAAAGGATCCCTTTCATCTTAGTAGTGTCTTGTCAACTGCCTACAACATAGAATAACAAAATTTATACATTTCTACTGAAAATTTAGCATACTTAAATCTACTGAAAGAAAACAGAACATCGGTAAGTGGTTACAATGGACAAAAACAGTCAAACATTAAAGGCCAATCATAATGGTAGATTCAAAGAGGATTAAGAAGTGGTAACAAGTTGTCACAGTCATATATATAATCCAGTGGAAGTTTTTTTTAATAAGAAATAATGACAAGAGTAATAAACAAAATATTGGGGACTTAACACTATAAAATTATGTGAGTGGGCTCTACGATAAGCTAAATATTATAGGTTAAGCTTAGTTAGATAAAAACATGGGATATGAACGGAATATGGTACAGCTGAGTAAGAGTGAAGAAATAAACATCTGAGGTTGATGAAGGATGATATAGTCAAATGACAGTCAAGACGGGTTACCGAGCTAGACAGAAGTTGACTATAGCCTCTTTATGAACGAATAAGTTAGGTTTGAGACACTTGCTGCTCATAACAATGTTAAATTGACCATGAATGTGAAAATAATGGAAAGTTCAAATTCTCAATACTGTTGTACAATGTAGGGTAGATGGTACGCTCCACAGGTCCATTCATTGAAAGAACACTTCCAAAGGTATATCCTCCTTGAGTTTTAATAGCTTTTGTCCAATTAACTACAGACGCGAATTAGTATAAACCATATTTCACGGCGTTGAAAAGATAGTATAGAAATTTTGAAAACCGTTGAAAGATGCTAACAAGACAATGGGTTACCGCAAGCATTTATCAACATAAATAGAGAAGCGGAAGACAAAATGTCGAATACAGCTACAGTCAGCAAAAAACTTGTATTCATTCGCTTCAGTTTCGAAGGTGATTAAGTTGCAGGAATTATTACCAATATATTGGTTAGGACCCCCTCTGTAACCAGGTTAATCCGTCTGTTCCAAAAATGTTCCATTCGGTCCAGTCAAAAGTCAACACACCGACCATTTTGAGAGCCATTCTTTATGGGCAGATTGATAAAGCTTTATTTAGTAATCCTATACACTTCACTCTTAGTTGAAATAATATTTCTTTTTGGCTAGCGTTTCGGGAACAGTGTATCATTCATAGTCATTGGAAGATACTTTAGACATGGTATTGCACTAGGTGATATACTTAAAAACCAAATGAAATGAAATTATACCCACGTTGTTCGCCAGTGAGGAACTCATGTAGCTGTTAACTCTTTAGTGCTTAGCATCCATCTATCAAGTTTTGCACTGTGGTCAGTGGACAAAGTGACACGACAATGCTATCCGATGTTTTTGGTATTAGGTAGTCGGATTCAGTCTACAGGCTGCCTTTGACCTAGGTTTCATGCATGCTACGGTTGAGTCTCTGACTTCCCTACTGAGTGACGCAGGTTTGAATCACCAGTGGGACATGAGATATACTTTGCTGATGCCCTATCATGAAGTCTGAAACACAAGTAAAGGGCTTCTTGTCGAATAACTCCCGCAATTTAAACACCGAAATGAGATTTTATTCCACTACAGTACCAACGGTTTAGACTTGTATTTCCAAATGCTTAGCTCCCAAGTTATTTATTTTCCTCCTATTTGTTGTGCATCATTTGACAGAATCAAATCATTCCATATCAGCTTGAAATATATTATTGTGTATAGGAATTATTTTCTTGTAAGTCTGTTGTTCTCAGAGCAATTTGAAGTTAAGGACTTAATCAAATTGCACTTTAAAAGTTTAGATTTTATTACAAATATGAATCATTAAGGACTGCTTTTTGTTGATCTAATAAGGATAAACGTTTATACTTAGTTAAAACAATTATTTATATGAGTTTATTGATTGCTAGAAGAGCTACTTCTGAAGCATTAATAAAATGAAATTCAAGTTTAATATTTACAGTTTCCTGTTGTTATAGTTGATCGAAATGATCAACTTCCGATAGCATATGTACTCCAATCTTGGCGCCTCGATATAGCCTAAATATTTGTTATGTTGTAATGAATTATTTTATTCTATTATTTTGATCGTTTTCAAGTTTGGTAGAGCTATGGCAAGGATGAGTAGTTAAATAAATATCTCATTTATTCAAGTAGTTTTTAAGAGGGTTTTTTGAGACGTATAGTCAGTTTGCAAATTATATAACGATTACATTGATATTTTTCAAAAGTCGGTGGTTTTGCAACTGGCCAACTGTGGTGTCTACAAGATTTCCGTTGGAAACTAACCCTAGACGTGTCAGAGATTATCTCTGACACAAAGGCACCATGAACTAGCGGAGCATATTCCTGAAGTTAGAAACAAACTGAGGTTGCCACTTCCATTTTACCAGTGTAACCACAGTTATTTAAATATTGGCTACCTAAACCTAGAGATTAGTCTGAGTGGTTTTTAACTATTCATGTTTTTCATTGGTATATTTCGATGGTATTGATGCATCATCTAACTATTTAATTGTTGACGTATCTTGTCGGTACACTAGATACCGTAACGATCCCACTGGCTAGTATTTTAGAGCTAAATTTATTGTTTGCATATCGTAATAATTCTAATTTCATCACTACTATTCAAACTTAACCTTGCAGTATATCAGTGAAATAAATCTTCTTTTGCTATTTACAGTTGTTCATGTTCAGATTCAAACATGGATAGACAGTGCAAACTACTCTCCGTTAATGTTGCCAATACTCCTATTGAAATCCCTTTCTCTTCTTTTGTTATTAATATAACCAATCAACGAACTGTACATATCGGTTTCCAGTTTATTACTTCAGACAATAGTGGAAATGGAACCTTGCTCACAGTTAGGAATATGGTAAGTTAGTTAAATTGCATAAGATGTAATGAAGCCTACAATTATGATAGTTCTATCTTTGATTGAAGGGTATTTTACTGAAACTAGACTCGTATTAAATATGGGAGTGTAGCATTTCTGATAGACGCTAAGTAAAGGGTGTAAACTTTAAAGACATCGGTGCTTTGTTTCTTGAAGAAGCAATTTACGCCCCACAGAAGTTTCAGGAATTGTTTATGATGACAGGGTTACTGTAAGTTTCACAAGAATTCACACAGATTGCAAAAGAAAATACCGTCCAGAGACATGGAATTCCAGGTCCAGCACCGGATCAATGATCAAAAATGAAATCTTTGAAATATCAGATATTTGAAAAGCTTTGCAATGTGTGGCACTGAATATCATCAGGGCTACTGTTTATTGATTTTCAAGTACTTAACATATAAGTGTTGTTTGTGACTGGATATGGCATGAATTCCATGATACATAATGAAAATTTGATTTTTCAATGAATTATAATTCAGCTTTTGGAAAGAAGTCAGTCCAGTGATCGTATTTAATGATAATGCTGGTTAGGTGAACTGATGAGTCGTTGACTAGCTGAAATACAAAACTGCTTCCAATTTTAAATTCACCAATCAGACTTAAGCCAAACCTAATTAGTTGCCTATGTATTTTTTTCATAAAACACTGAACTGTTTCGCGTGTATACACAGAAAATCTGTGATCATTGATTTACAAATTTATGGTCAGGTAAAAGAATTTTAAGCATTTCTTTTCAAGTTTTTCAAGCATCATTTATGCTCATTGACTAACTGTAATGTCTGTTAATTTTACAATTTGTGTTTATACAGTGAGTGTGGTGCATATACGAAAACAGAAATTAGTGCTTTTCATTGTTAAACTCACTAACTTGCTTTCTTGGAAAAAAAGTTGTGTCATGAAAATGGCAGAGTATGCTATTAGCCTTCTATTAGACCCATTATGAGTAGGAAAAAACACCTGCCTTAAATGAACTTATGAGTTACACGTTAAGTAATAATCACAGACGGGGAACTGTTTAACAGCTTGAATTTAATAATAAACTAAATATATTTCTTATTGTGCCTTAATGATTCGTGTAACGAAATAATCAGAGGCAAGGTTCATTGTCACAGAACTTTAAATTTCACGTGAGTTTTCCACATTCATTCACTATGACTATTCAAACCGTCTGAGGTGAGTGTTCCTATGAGCAATTGGTTTTCACGCCAAAGAAATGTTATACTATTTACTAAGTCTTCTCACTACTGGGGATGAGTTTCGGTATATTCATATTTATTCCGTTGGATAAGGATCCTTTCGCTTTTAGAGATGTTCCATGCTATAGTTTCAACAAGGTTGATCTTTCACAGAAACCGTATTGTAACCTGATCTGGTGGATAAATTAGCTAATGAACCAAATTAAAGTATCCACTCAGAATATGCGATTAGTAAAATGAGTATTTCATTTCATTACGTCAGCATAATCATCCTGAAAATAGTTGATTATAATAGTCTGAACATCAGCATCGGAAATGAAACATTCATTTAGGCGGAAAGCCTGTGAACAACAACTGTAGATCCATTATTGAAAACCACCATGCAGTGGAAAACTTTACTCAGCAGTTTTTCAGAATTTATTAAAACGTATATGAATTTCAGCCCGTTATTAACTGTTTTGTTCACTTTTACTGATGTGATATAAAACGTATCATCATATAAAGTTGGCATATTTATCAGCTATAAGAATTTACATAAAAGTGTGTATAAACTAAAGGATGAATTAATGAGAGGCTATTCTTTGCTAAAAATGTAAATTTCATGCACAAATGTTTTATTCAGGAATAACAGGACTCAAATAGTCTAATTTCAGAATTATGGTACAGATATCTTCTGAAACCTGCTATTTTATTTATTCACTACTGTAGAAGTCACCTAGTCTGCTACATTGACATACTTGCTATTCTGTTGTTTATTATGAAAGCTGAGACTGTTTATTTTGGCTAACAATGGAAAGGTAGACACTTTGTTCAGTTTACAAAGTGCAGGTTTTATTGTAGGCTAAAAGCCTTCCATAAATGCTTTTCTGTGTGTAGACACTGTAGCCATTCGTTAGTTATAATATTAAACGTTTCAAAATAATTAATTCATGATTAGTGAGATATTGTGGGTATCGGTCGTTTGGAAGTCCTAGCGCAACTTAGACCATCTTTTAAATCGCATTGACAGAAAAATAGTTTATTGAAGAGGATAACTTTCCTTCCTCTTTACAATGTATTCACTTGTGGATTGTACAAAGCATACTGACCGTAAAATCTGACATATTCCAGATTTTTAGCAAGTATGTAGTGTAACGTGGCAATGATAAGTATGTCACATTATTCAAAGTTGAGACGCGATTTGAAGTAAGTCCTTGCAATGGTAACAGAGCTGACATCTCTAAGATTATCCTTTCCCATCTCCTACTTTAATCACTCACTTTTCTGTCCTCACATTAATCTATACAGTTGTCAATAAGTAGCGAAAATACCTTTAAATGTAAGAATCCTCATCCCGTATGCTGCTTGTAAAAATTATTTATCTATTCATTGAATCTTCGATAGTTAGTTGAAGCCAACTGTAAAATACTTAATAACCGATACTATCTGAATGCAGCGTAACTTGAAAAACGTTTGTCCCGATTAAACAGTCAAACGATGCAGTTGATGCTAAATTTTACTGAACTTAAGTGCTGCTATTTCTTTGTTATACAGGGAACATGCAGTGTTGGATATGTAAACTAGGTAAACTTTATCATCAGCATCCTGTAGGCTGCTGCTTTGCATGTATAAAGTAATCATTTTTATGTTCAGTACATTTTCTTTTTGTCTGTTTATGAAGCTTGTATTTTCTTGACTATAAGGTGCACTAAAATATTATTTGTATATGTTCCCTGATTTTTTGACACATGACAAACGTGTAGAAAGTTAACTGGAGTTTATATTAACCGTCTTGTATATCACGAAAGAAAAAGAATAAACAAATGAAGTGAGTTGTGTGAAACATGTTAGTTATGAATAGGATAAAATTCTGTCCTTTTACATCTACGCAGGCATTTGTAAACTGTTTGACTTTTCATAGTGACATTATGAAACACTCATTTATACTACATATCAAACTAACATTTCCCATGACAGCTGCAAGTTCAGTAAAGGCGAAGAATTAACATTTTTCTCTTCATTGGATGAATTCATGCTACAAAGGAAGACTGTGTGTCATAAAAACAAGCAGTTACAACCGTTTGGACTTGTCGAAGGTGATTCGCATTATGCGAATTTGTATATATTAAGAAGGGTAATGGAAGTTGATAAACGTCATCTTACTGCAAAACTAGAAATCAGAACAAAAGTAATCACCGACTTTCATGTTACGTTATTTAGATAACGCAAGATCCCGTACCATTCTAAGACATTTGTTTCAGTAACTGTTAGTTGTAAACATTTACCTTTCTGGTTTGCACTTCCATGTGACCAAAATACATCACTTAATTCAATATAGATTGTAAGTATACTTTGAAAGTGTATCACTATCAAGCATGCTAATGCTTTTGGAATACAACCCTAAGGGAGAGAATCAGAATATTCGACTCATCCAGCTCACTTTTTGTTAACTTCAGCACCTCTTGGAAAGCCGAGTTTTTCACTGGTAATAAAAAGTGCAATCGACATGTACGTGCTAATTAATCCAAGTACTTAAACATTATTAGGGTTGAAAAGTTTAAATAATCGTATATTATAGTAAATTTTTTTCAACAATTCTCTCCTTGTTAACTGGCTTCTCAGTATTAGATAACCAGAATAATCTCGTCATTGTGTATAACAGTGCCTTTGACTGATAAATCTAGCTGAATTTAAAGAAAGCCACTGGATAGTATACTCTAAAATCTTGTTTCAGATATTGTTTTGAAGGATTATCCGACCACTACCTTGGTATTTGGAAAAATGCTACTAATTTGTAAAAAAATTGCAGAATGGTCTGCTTCACTAAATTAAAGTAAATTCCTTTTTGTACCTGTTTCGTTAATTTTAATCAGTGGAGTTTACAGCAGGAGTCTGAATAGTTTCGTGTTGAGATGGATATCCAGTAACATACTTGCAGTTTCATGGATCTTTGAGCGTAAGAGTTGATTTTGGTACATAAATGTAGGTTCTAGGTGGTCATTTTACAATTATTATTAGAGACTTGTACTAGATAAAGCTTGGACAAGACTTTTATTGACGTTATCTATCTGATTCCGATTGGGTTAAAGCATTCCTCATAGTACATTGAATGAAAAATTCTTACCAATTATTTTAAAGCCGATTTCATTTTATTTTTCCTTCCAGAATTCTACACATTTTGTTGGAGGTCAGCTTATTCAACTCACGGCTTTTCTTGAATTCGGAAGACTTGGTGTGAACTTTGTATATTTGTCGAATTCAAGGACTCTGCGTTCCTCTTCAGGTGGTGTTGCACTAAATGATAATGCTTGGCATTACGTAGACATATTTCTAGACACTCAGGTAATATCATGGACACATGTAACAAGAATTATTTCCTGGGTTTCTTTTGGCATACTTTCGAATATCTGTTCTTCTGTTTTGTTCATATAACAGCTTAATACTAGTGAAGATATGAAAGCACTGATACTGGAAATCTTTTTTCCATCAACTCTGATTATACACTGAAGACTACAGTAGGAACCAAATTTTGAGGATTACTTTAGGTTTTGTAAACTTCTTAACGTTTTATAAAATTTATGTTCCCTTTAACTTTTAGACATTGTCTAGTTGTTTGTTCAGAGTTGCCTGCAAGTTGTTTTACCAAAGCCACTCAACAACGTTTTAAAATTTATGTTAATAGAGGTAATAATAATCAAAAGTTGGTATTGTATAACGAAGCAAGTCAAGTCATGACAAATACTGTCACAGAAATCATATACAATCTCGGATGGAATGGAATTCTCCTTATAGTTAGGGTTCATAATATGAACTTATTGGTGACGAGTATTTATATTTGTCTTGGATTATATCTTAGTTGTACATTGGTTACCAACATAGCTATCAACTGTCGACTATCTTTGAGACTTCAATAGGTTAATGACATTTCTGACAGAGACCAATAAGCTGGTAAAACATTTCACTTCAGAAATGTACGGATATCCAGTACTAGTTAGCAGTATATATCACAAGGTCACTGACTCGTTACATCTAGAGGTCTCAAATTTCAACGACATAGCGCTACTATGAGCTATTGAAATGGAGTTCCAAAGTAAGGGTTTTACTGTGTCCAAACTGACTAACTTTGAACATAAATATTCTTTAGGGTTTGATTGAAAACTGGGTGAAATGTAATCTGTATGTACAGATGGCACAAAATACCAGATTCGTCTTGGGCAGAGATTCTATAATGCTAACTTTCAATAAGGATTTATAGATATTACGAATCTAGAATCATGTGTACTCCAGGCATCTGTCGCATCATTAAGCAGAAAAAATATTCAAGATATCAGGAGTAAATATACATCATCTCTCGAGGTCAGGGAGCTAATTCTGAGAAAAATACTCAGCCCTTAATCAAAAAAGCATATTCTATAAGACAGACCCAGTGAGTTACACATTCAGTTAGTCAAATTTACGGATAAAACAGCAACGAACTTGAAAGAATAGGTTCATTAAGTATTGAAATATGAATGCGAAAAAGACTATGGTTTGGGTGAATTGTCGTCAAAATCCTACCGGATATTCGCATAAATATTAGGCATCAAGTGAAGGATTGGCATCACATGTAGTTCATGTTTATATAAATCTCAGCGTCTTTGAGTTAAATAATTATAACGTTTCGCAATGAAGACTGGTCATAGATTTTTAAAGGAAATAATCAGTAGAAGCTTCCATTAGGCTTCCATACAAAACGTTGGAACTATCTAAATGAAATACGCTGGATTTTATACAAAAATAACTTGTTAGAATATGGTTTGTGACATTTAGGTGTTAATGGTAATTTGTTTTGAAGTTTGAAGAAAAACTGAAATACTGACAATGCTACTTGACATGTATAAGTAGCATGAATTGATAGCATAAAAAAAGGTGAGAAGAGAAAGGAAGGGAAAGTATGTATTGCGAGAAAGGGGCTTCACACCAAGGAGTCTAAGACTGTTCTGTTGAAAAATAACTACAATATCGAATAATCAATAGTTCATAAAACCCTGTATTTAAACTGTTGTTTGAGAGTGCGCCCCACTGCATTATTTCCATAATGGAATCTACTGTATGATTTGATATATTTTCGGCAGGAGAATCCTTTCAGTTCACTTCATGTAACTTGTACTAAAAGTGAGAATGTTGGTGACTCTAGTGGTTTCTTCTGTGAAGGCTTAGCATAGTTGAAAAACTATTTCCGAGCATCGATATAAAGAAGCATTATTCTGTTCCTAAATTGTTGTTGCAGTGCATGTCATAGGGATGTACTATACTGTTTGAAATTTTGAGTCACTTCATGCGATAAATGAACAAGTTAAAGCTAATAATTGAGGGGAAAAGTAGTCACAGTTATACATATCACTCTAAAGTTCCACTTGGGATGACGAAAATATATTTATTGAAGTCTGTATTATTCGACTAGGGCTTTTTATTTATAAGCTTGTCACTTTTGGTCTTCACAAAGTTGCAAGAATGGGTGTTATTCTCTTACAAAAACTACTGTTTAGGCTTTCTTTGAAATTATCTTGCAGCTACACCTTGGGAAATCAAACGTGGTGGTAGTGCATGTCATGAAAATTTGAATCTTCTTAATACAATGCCTTAATCTGCCTTATCATGTAGTTTGCTTTCGACTCAGATAGCTACCCACAAAAATGATGGAGTATTGAACTCAAGAAAGAAGTTTTTCTTATTACTCTATAGGTTAATGGAGAATGGAATCTAGTTGCATTGATAGACCGCTGTAAATATTCAGAGTTAGGACCGTGCTCAGTGAATGACAAAATTACTTTACCAGTGAACTCAATAAAAATGGGGGGATATCTCCTATTGGGTGATGAATCTGGTCCAACTGCAGAACGCTTCAGAGGATGCTTTGATAGTGTCATGATAAATAGAGAGGTATGTTGAAATTTGTTTGTTTACGGAAGTGGAATAGGAACACATCTAATTTAAATTCATTGTTTTACCTTTACATCATTTTTAAGATGCAACATGCGAATCAGTATGATTCTATTCAAAGTTTTGTTATATTTTCATTGTAGAAGCATGTTGACGAACTTCAACGCTATACCAAGTTTCATCTATTAGTGAATTGAGGTAGTACACACCGATGAATTTCTATTCCATTTTCATTTTCTTGGTAAGAAGTAAAATCAAAGCAATAAAGGTGATACTTCTTGCTTCATCGAAGCAAATGTAACACACATTTTATATAAATCAGAAAATGGGCTAGACAGATCAAGGAAAAACTGATTTCCTGATGGTAATTAGGAATCTAAGAAATGTTTATAGTTCGGTAATCATGCATAACTTCACCTTCGTGGTTAATCTTAGTGCAGCAGAAACAGACAGCGTTGAATCTGATACAAGCGTTGCAGGGATCAACTGCTTGACAGAAAACGATGGTATTGGCAAGGACCGACTATATCTCGTAAAAGAAATTGAAATCGTGGTATATTTCTAGTAAATTTAACGGTGTTTGGTGTTCAGTCAACTAGCGAATGATCACTAAGAGTATATATTGAACATCTCACATTCTCAGAAGACTATCGCTACAGAAAATGAGCACATAGATGCTTGACTTAGATAAATAACCCTAGATTTTAAAGAGCTCTTTTTCAAAATTATTTTTATTGTTCCTGTCTGGTCTAACGTCTATGATAGATCATTCACTGCATAAAAGTTGCTGACTGAGGGAGCATGGGCTGTGTATTTTTGAGCCATCAACTAGTTATTTTTAAAAATATCATGAAGGAATGAAGCAGCAAATAACTGTGAATGAGCACAGTACATCATTTGTCAAACTTGGTTATTTATAGAGAAAGAACTAATAAAGCATGAAATATGTCAATGTATTTTATTCTTTGAAATACCTTGAATTGATCAGTTAGAGATATCGCCCTGTTATCAGAAATCTACGCATTCAGAGTAATCTTATTCCCTCTCATTAATAGTTTTAAGGTGTCATTTACTTCATGAGATTAGTAAATTTACGATAACGCTCTCTGAAGGCGGAAAATGTTTATGACAATTTAAGTCAAACAAAAATCTGTTTTAAAGGATTTTAATAGAGAAATCCTTGAAATTGCTCATCTAGCACTTTGGTGGGTGAAACTTTCAGTTCTAATTTTGTCTTGTCACAGATAACGACAACGATCATCGATAACTAGTCAAATATAACGTGAGCATGGTATTACTAAAAATGTTCCTTGCACTCTGTCTCGTAATTCATGATTTCCTGTGGGTTCAGCTACCATCTATTGTACGATTCCATACAGATATTTCCAATGACTTTTAATTCATTTCTGAATGTACCATTCACATTTAAAATCTCAACAACTTAAAACGCTAAAGCGGGGTTAAAGCATGCGTGAAATAGTAGATTATAATTACAATCTAGTTTGTTTATTAGAAGTGTCACACAGTGAAGTAGTATTATCTGCCGGATACCATCTCCGAAATAATTCATCGTCTATATTCATATCAGGTAATTCCATAACTATTAAACACGGTTTATGTAGTTCCAATTCTCTTCCTCTCTTCGTTATAATGGTAGTAGAATTCTGCGTATATCTAGAATAGGTGCAGAATAACTTCCATTGCATGTATCTTTTGTTGATTCGATAAATGAAGATTCGGTTGTCAATCTCTCTCTCCACCCGAGTTAATTTTCAGTACTGCCAATCTACCTCATCGGATTGTGTGATTGTGTGTAACTGGGTGCAAAGTTGTAGCCAAGCTTTTCTCTAGATTTTTCATCTTGTTAGTATCTACAAATCTTGACTTAAGAAAGCGTTAGGCTTGGAAATACTAACCCAGGTTGACGACTGTGACTTATACATTTGAACTTGCAGTCACTGAAAAGGATTTAGCAAACTGGATTTTTTATTCATTCTATCAGTCGTATATTTGGCCTACATAACTCGTTTCGAAGTGAGTTTGTAGGTTTAACTGCATAGCCCAGGCTTTTTAAGAATTCTTTGAAATGCCTCTCAGCTAACTTACTTAGTAGCACAGTACAAATTTTGAATTCTCTTTTCGCAGTATTGTCCCTGTTATTTTATTATTATTGACGTCTGTGTTGCCACTAGTGTTCACACTTTTCTTTCGATTTCTAATGAATTTATTGATAAATTTGATGGGTAATTATTGAAAAGAAAGACATCTTCAATGTGTCTAATTTCTTGTCTCAGATTCTCTGTTCCAGTAGTAACCTTTTGTCGTAATATTTGGACACTTTACTGAGCCCACCTTAATTGGCACAACATGAGATGATCTGAAGCTAAAGCGGTGATTTGAATTGGGAAGTTTCCTGTAGACACTTGTGACTAAACTTCCATAGTGTTTTAATTTAATCCTGTAATCCAGAATCACTAGGTCTCGTTTTATACCTTTTTAATCTATAAGTAAATTATAGAGAGAAGGAGGGAAGTACTTAAATCTACACACTCACTTGGAAACAAGCTACGTGGGTTAAAATATACGGCTGATACAATGCGAAAAGATAATTTAGTTTACCAAACCCGCTTGAGATGAGTAAAATCTCCACGAAGTTCTGAGTTGAACTACTGTACGATGCTAATTATTGACATTCTTCGAAATAAGATTTCCAATATTTCTAATGAAAAGTCGTGACCGGTGAAGAAAATGATTTCAGACATGAGAGTAGTTACTCCGCACTGTCACTAAATGAAGGTTGTTCTATTTCTCAAACTGACGGAAGTGAGAAAATGTGTGGAATCAAATCACAACTTATTATCTCGACGGTAAGGTGCTCGATGCGGATATTGAAGACTCCGGGTTAAATTCCTGGCGGGTCCATGAATGAACACCGCTGACTAGTCCAATACGAGCACGAATCAGCTACTGAATTTTCCAGGGTTATCAATGGCTCTTTAAATGATTTCATTCTGTGCTAAAACAAGACTTGTAGATACTAACAAGATGAAAAATCTAGAGAAAAGCTTGGCTACAACTTTGCACCCAGTTACACACAATCACACAATCCGATGAGGTAGATTGGCAGTACTGAAAATTAACTCGGGTGGAGAGAGAGATTGACAACCGAATCTTCATTTATCGAATCAACAAAAGATACATGCAATGGAAGTTATTCTGCACCTATTCTAGATATACGCAGAATTCTACTACCATTATAACGAAGAGAGGAAGAGAATTGGAACTACATAAACCGTGTTTAATAGTTATGGAATTACCTGATATGAATATAGATGATGAATTATTTCGGAGATGGTATCCGGCAGATAATACTACTTTACCAGAAGTTTGTCCTAAAGTGTACTAGTTTAAATCTTACGACGTTACAGAGAAAAAGCTGACATATAATTATCTGTGAGGGGAAAATACCACCTTTTCAACTTTTATTTCTTCATAAATATTGATCCCGGTTGCAGTTATCTTTTCGGTCATAAGCACTACCTGTTCTGTTCTTTATATACTATAATTAAACCAATTAAAGAACTTTAATTCCACTATAAACTTCATTTTTCTTGCCGGGGTTTTGATTTGGAATGTTATCAGTAGGAAAAATTTAGATAATGTTCGATATTACTTGTGATTTGATGAGAAACAATGTAATATATCAGGTCTACAGTTTTTGGCCTTTAAACATGTAACGTTGGTGAATCTTAACTATGGATAGAGATGGCACTAAAAATCGTGAGTTATCATTAGAAAGTTGACTTGACAACAGTTTTATCTCAGTTTTTAGGGACTCATAATATCCAGAGTAAATGAAAAGTAAAACTGACATTAATTGTATGCAATAATCACTTAGATATTCAGCTTTTCATATTTATAGCTCAGTATAAAAAAATATCCAACATATAAGGTGTTGGTGCAACTTACTTCTTCATGTTGAATTCACCTATGCACTCATGTAGTAAGTACAATATGTCTATTGTTTCATGGAAATTGAATTAAAAACAAAAGTGTAAGTAGTGAGTGCCTTAAAATTTCAAATGATGATGTTCTGTTGAATTTTAATTCTATTTTATTCCAAATTCCAAATGAGACTGATGACTTAGCTGTAAGAAAGCAATCATCTATGAATGTGTTGAACAGAATCAGCAATAATGCTTACAATTTATCGACTAAAGCATAATAGCTTATAAGTACACTCATAGAAGGGTAACTGATCTTACCAAGCCAATCGAATTTAAACGCAGTCAGCAATGTTCGGCACATTCTGGCAGTAGACGATGAGTCACACCTATTGTATGACTGCTAAATGCCTGCTGTAACCTTGACAGGTGGAGTGGTGACTGAACGTGTCATCTATTGTTGAAAGTTAACTACCTAAACAAGTTAATCAAACTCCACCAACCCATAAGAAAGTTTTAGAATAATAAACGGGCACTGCATCCTCAAAATTACTTGTAAATATAGGCTTGTTCTTCTAATAGACTGGAGATTCTGCTCAGAGATGAAGTAGCTTTTCACAATAAAATAAAGTTTACTGGTTGTTCATGTCCACTGTAACCACAGTCAGCAAATGCTATCAAAATGAAACTATCTTTATTTACTTACAGCTAGTTGACTTTTATCCAGTACTTCTGTCACAAGTGTCTCGAAGAGGATGTCCAGATTCTGAAAGAGGTTGTGTAAGAGGTGGTGTGAAGTTGTGTGGAAATCACGGGAAATGTCGAAATGCTATAAGTTCTACTGACATACTGACTTGTCAATGTGAAGTTGGTTATCGACCTAATATAACTGGAGCCCTAAAACCTCATAGATGGCCATGTGAAGCTGGTAAGTCAAACTTTTAACATAAAATATCTACCATTTAAACTATACGAATTTTTTAGTGTTTACAATTTTAAATTCTTTTCTATCATCATAGATGAGTAGCAAAAGTAGGTTATATATGTAGGACTCAGTACAAAAGAATAATGGCTGTTAAATCCGAAAACTAACTTGAGTTCCAGAAGAAAAACCATTGCCTGAATACAGATTTTATTTTATTTAGGTAGTTTTAATATTAGGAAGGTTTTGTCTACTTTTTACACCGATGATGTGAACTTGTAGTGAGGCCTACTCAGAATTTCAGCTGAATAAATAAAAATATACTTTTGAAAGATTTTGAAATCATTGTATTAGGACAGAGTGTGCTTTCTAAAATGTCTCATTATTATTATTATTAGAACACAAAGATGGTACGTAAGGGCACCAAGAAACTTATTGCACAAAATAATATAACGCTATTTGGAAGACATAAAGCCATGGGGAATGGATAAAAGGAAATACAAAATAAAAAAGGATAGCCCAGTATGGTATATTCAAAACGAAACATTCATTACTTTTCAACAACAGGAGATAGAAGGGAGCTACAGCATGACGCCTACCCCACTTTAATTCCAAGTCAGAGTTGGAAACGTCTCAATCCACTGAGTTGTGTTATCTCTTGGAGGCTAATCGAGGAATCGTGATGCACCAAGAGATATCAACTCGATACAACTATACTTTATCCCATGGTACCAGGTCATACACTGACCACATCTACACTTCTCCAGGACCTCCTACAGGTAGCAAGCAATGAACGGTATGGAAGCCACGTCGAAAGTAGAGTGATTACACTGATATGATTATGAGCAATAATTCGTGCTCGAAACGTCATCAAGCAAATAATACTAGAACACTATGTTTTATAAATCAAATAAACAAATCTAATATGAAATTAATTTCTACCACAGTGCCCAAGTTTTACACTTATATTAAACCATTGGGATGACATGCGTTACACATGTCCAAGCCACCGAAGTTGGTGTTTGCGGATGACTTTATTCACTGAATGATGGTCTCCCTCATGCTTAAACACGCTGTCGTACCCCAAGATTACTTACCTGGTGTTGCCACCGGATACCAGCAATCCTATGGAGACAACGACGATCAAACACGCAGGGTCGTCGCAAATTTTCAGCTTGGAGAGGCCAGATTTCACAGGCGTAGAGCTGAAGTGCTTGTACCGAAGCGTTGTTAATCCAATCTTTTACGGTCAAAACAACGTCGCGATGGCGCTAAAGGTGACCTAGATTGACGTATGCCACTTTCACTCTCAATATGCGTCTAGAAATTTCATCATTCATACCTCCGTCAAGAAACTGACAAATACCCAGAAACACAAACTTTTCGACTACTTCCAACAGACTACAACCGAGGGTGTGAGTAGGTAGGGGTTCTTAACCATCTTGCGAAAGTACTTCAGACTTCGATGGTTCAAAGCGCATACTATACTTACGGAGACTAATTACCAACTGGTTAAGTGCGACCTGAGTAGCCTGTGTGTTATCGCACAGTAAGAAGATATCGTCTGCGTATCCAAAGTGGAATGGCCATTCTCCGGGCAATAGATGTGTATCACCATCATACACCTCCTTCACGCGTCTCTCAAGAATGTCATCGATGGCAAATTTAGGAAGAAATGGAGAAATCGAGTAACCCTGACCAACCCTACTGCTGGTTTGAAACAATGGAGACGGGTGTTTGTATGCCACCGCCCTATCCGGTTTGTTATTTGATAAGGATTTTTCAACATGTGAAAACATTTCTGGGACACGCCACTCTCTAAGAGGGAGTTCCAGATTACAGTTCTGTCCGGTGATTCGAAATCATCAATACAATCCAGAAAAAAGGATTAATGGCCTGCAATACGTTTAGCGATTTTCAATGCATCGATGACCTGGGGAAACACATGCCTGCTCCTCGTGAGTCATTTTTTCACGCGTTTTGCGAAGTCTGCGAAGTATGATAGCAATCAACGTTTTCGACTCTACTGGTAACAGATTAATACCCCAATGATTGCCACATAATATACGTTTCATGTTATGTCTCATCAGTTATAAAGTGAATTTGGCATACTCAGTGCACTATTATTTCACCGTATGTACCTTTGGAGTGTCTTGCATGCGTCTGGTGCGAGCATAAATGTTCACTCTCAGTTTTGAGGCTTCAAGTAGTTTACTCCTGTGATAAAAAATAATTAAACAGATTAATTAGGACAGACAATGATCGCGCTGAAATGTAATGAAAAGAAACTCGGACACAGACTTAACATGAGTCATCAAAATCAGCAACTGCAACCAGAACTGGACAAGAGCCCACCCTAGTTGGCAATGGCGATATCAAAATTCTATTGGGTGAAGTGACATAAATGCCAAACTGGAAGCGTGAAACACAGGAAGAGAACTCATCATGAGTCATCATGAGGCACTCGGTGAAATGAATGAGAATGGAGAACTACTCGCAGACGTCTGCACCTTTAATGATTTGGTGATTGGAGGCAGTGTGCACAAACACAAAGATATTCACAAGGCAGCGACATGGATTTCACCAGACACTAGGACACACTAAAAATCAGACCGACTTCATCTCAATGTGAAGAAAGTGGAGATGCAGCCTACTGGACACAAGATCACATCAAGAAGGGGAGCAGACATAGGTGGTTCACACCACTCACTACCTAGTGCATGGAAACTACCTTCAAAATCAAGTTGAAAGCCTTCAAAGAAGAAGATGGTGACAGACCACAGTTCAAGTTCAACACTCAGAACACAAACTGAACTGAAGGACGAAACTACAAACGACACCATCACATCAGTCAGTCAGTCATCAGGACAAAATGGGAGACATTGAGCAATAGCCTCAAAGGATCGGGTGTGGAAGAACACTGGAAGTCTTTGAAAGCCATGTGGAACGAAACCTGCACAACCGTATTAAGAATGAAGAAGAAATAAGACAAGACAATGAATGGATCTCTATGGAAGCTGATAGAGGAGGGAAAGGAAGATGGTGATGGTGAGGCAGAAGATGAACCGTTGCAGTGCAGTTCAGTGCAGTGCAGGGATGAACAACGAAAAGTGGAACTGAGTACAACAAATAAAAAACTACACTGGACAAAGAAGTGAGGAAGAGTGCACGGAAAGACAAAAGACACTTCTACGACACACTGGTAATTGAAGCAGAATAGGCTGCTGGTAGGAGAGACAGACACCTGACAACACTATATCAAACAACCAGGTTACTGTCTGGGAGGGAAGAGATCAACTCAGATGAAACCAATGAGAGATGGTGAAGAGAAGCTAGTTACCGAAGAGGAGAAACAAAGGAAACGATGGGCTGACCACTTCAGAAAACTCTTGAATCGACCAACCCTACCACCTACAACTCACTCAGAAACACCAACGGCTGCTCAGCCACCGAGAATCAGTGAACACCAGCCCTCCAACAAAAACAAAGTGAACTCCTGAACGCCATAAAGTCGCTGAAATCCGGGAAAGCAGCAGGACCAGATGGAATTCCACCGGAAGCACTGATAACAGATGCAGAGACAACAGCAGTGGACATGCTCACACCACACCACACCACACCACACCACAACTGCAGAATGTTTGCAAGGAAGGAAGGATAGATACCTGTCAGTTGATGGGAAGAAGGGCTACCTTGTCAAACTTCTAAACAAGGGAGACCTAAGTCTTTGCAAGAACTGGAGCGAAATCAGGCTGGTGTCTACGTCCACTCTGGGGTAAATATTATGCCGCATCATCCTCAAGAGTCTAAAAGGTGTCCTGGATTCAGAACAGGCTGGCTAGCTGGCTTCACGAAAAGCAAATCATTTGCAGGTCAAATTGCAACGCTACTCTACACATCATTATAGAACAGAGCACAGAATGGTAGTCGTCAACTCTCCACCTCAACTTCATCAACTTTGAAAAGGCATTCAATCGTATCGACCGAGAAGTGATTTGGCAGGCAGCTGCTTCAACACTACGGTTCTAGTGCCACAAACCCTTATCAATCTCATTCAACAGCTATGTGTTATATGATGCTACATGCGAAGTGATTAACAATGGGAAGCTCAGTGACGCCTTTGAAGGGAAGACAGGAGTAAGACAAGGTTGCCTACTATCACCGATGATCTTCCTGATTGTGGTCGACTGGATTGGGCCATGCAGCAAACGGTGAGGAGGGAGAAGAGAGGCATACACTGTTTGAGCAATGAAAAGCCTATAGAGGATTTGGGCTTTAATGAAGATTTATGTCTAATGTCGCACAAAATCAAAGATCTGCAGGCGAAAACGAAAACGTTGGTAGAATAGACAGGGAAGCGAGAACGGCACTTCTGGTTAATGTAGAGAAGACAGAGGTAATGAAGTTACCCAAACAACAACAACAACAAGAACCAATCACCATCAACAGGGACAATCTAAAGGAAGTTGTTTCTATCACCTACCCACGTAGGTAGCATCGTTTCAACAACAGGCAGCAGAGGCACAGATGACGACGTCAATACCAGGATCGGAGGAGCAAGACAGGCTTTGAATAATCCGAAATCAGTGTAGAGATCTACTGCACTCAGCATGAAGCGTGAATGAGATCCGGATTTTCAACACTGAGTCAGTCAAGTCAGTGCTTCAGTGTGATGGTTGAGAGACTGCGCGTTACGAAAAGCATTTGCAACAAACTGCAGACATTGATCAACAGTTGGCTACGCTGGCTCGATACTGAGGATCGGATGGCCAGAATAATAAGAATAAGCATCAAGGAACTCACTCTAATCGGGCGATGAGCCAACGAAGCAACAACCCATCGGCCAAGAGATATGCGGATTGGAGTGGAGATGGATTGGACATACTGTGAGAAGACCATTTGGAGACATGAGGCGTCAGGCCAGGTCGTGGAGTGGAATGCGAAGGGGAAACGACGAGTTGGGTGGTTGAGGGTGAGATGGAGGAGATCATGTGAGGAAGAAATAAAATTTTGTGTGCAGTTGTGGAGCGAGGTTGAATAGGCTGTTGGGAGCAGGATGAAATGGAGACGTGCTACTGAAGCCCTATGTTCCACTAGGAACCCAAGGGGGAAAATACCACTACTACTACTACTACTGCTAATAATGTTGATGATGATAATATTATTATTAATAATAGTAGTGTCGCAGAGAAATCTGGTAAGTGAGTAGCTAAGCCATTATACAGAGTACCGCTCTGCTCATTTATTTGTGTTTTTATGTTGTTCACTGGGTCGAAACAGTAGAATTTTACTCAATTCAGGAATAAATACGTGTATTATTATGCAGTAAACAGTAAAATATTATCGCTTCAATTGTCATGATTAATGTTTGCTTTATTATTATTCATTACATAACTTCAACCAACAACCAAATCAACAACTTGTGAGTTAAATTATAATGATTCGCAAGTAGAAAAACTTGTGATTTTTCTGTAGCCTACCGTCATTTGAAATCTAATGGTGAGACAATTTAACAACACAGAACGTCTATTGAAAGTTATCTGGATAGTTTACGTTTAAGCATACATACTTTTTAAACACATCTATTCTTTCTATATATGCAGGAGGCCTTTTTATAATAAAACCTCTTCTTTTATCGTGCATTTAACAGAGTTCGTCACCGACTGGTTTCACGTTATCCTTGTTTATTCCAATTACGCATAGAATCAATAACAAAGAAGTAGTAGCGATAGTAATATGAAAGTGAAATAATTTCACTTTTGTCGATAAAATTATACATTTATCGTCATTAGCTAGAGATAATAATATGTGATATACATATTCCTGAAATAAATAGATTGTTATTAAAGCCATTTTGACGTAAACAGGCAGAATTTTCAAGAGATTACTTGCCAAATACGATAGATTGAGATGTTGAAGTAGTCAGTATGGTGTTAGTCTTTCCAACGTTTTATTCATAATTGTTTATTAGGTCTGAGAAAAATGGTAGATTACACCATTCTTCGAGAGCCATCTTAGGTAAAAACTGCAATTCCCTATGTCCTATGAGCATTAAGCAACAGCCGAATTTTAGGGAAAAATAAAGACTGTATTATTTAAGCCTATAGTGAATATAAAGTCCACCTGACAGGTTAAGGAGCTGTGACACACAGGCAACAAAGGTTAAGCGTTTCAAAGAAGTGAATATTTCTGAAGGCAATTTGCAAATCCAGTCATATTTGACAGCCGTAAACAAATTTATCAAATGGATATCTTTTTGTTATATCAAAAAATTGAATACCTAATATTGGTAAACTATCCCATTTTTAAGATGTTTGCAATATAAATCTACATGAAACATAATGTGCATCTGTGACCAGTTTTTATCACAAGTTTATGCCAGTAAAAAAGCATCAGGAACCTCTGGTTAGTTTTTTCATTTAATTGAAGTTTTTTGATTCAATGAAATCAGAAAAGCGTTAAGATTGCATTCCATCGCGAGTTTACTGAATTGAAATCTGTCATTCATTTGCTACTGATTCAGTAGTTGAGTAGTTTCTTATTATAAAACGTAAATTTACTGGATTTGTTGTCATTAGTTGCTGGTGTATGCTATAAATTATAATTGTTCCCGAAGTATTTACTTAGAAGTACAATCTCCAAGTTCTTTATACTGGTTACTTACAACCTGTTTAATTCGATGGTACGACACTGTAGAAATGTCTTTCGAAGTGGAATACAAAGGTATACAGACATTTTAACCAAAAATATTATGGAATAAGTTTATTGCGCAAGTGAATCCACGAATTCGGACCATATTCAACCTGTTGTGTTTCTTTATCATGCAACCACTATAACGACTGAACAGTCTATCTATCTATCGTACACTCTTACTGATTTTTATTTAATGTTGGTCTACTGATTTGTGACTGGCATTCACGCTTCATTCCAGTGACCATGTTCGCATAAATATATTCATCAGTTAGATCTTCGATACCTTGATTTGTTGACTGACAACTTTATTTGTAATAGGCGACATTTTAAACAAGTGAACACAAAGTGAATTCCTGACTAATAGATAATACAAGATATCACCGCAAAGGTAAATAACCATCGCTCACGAAACGAAATATTCTGATTCTTTTATATATGTGTGATAATAGTCTTAAAACCAGCAGCTGAATGGTAATCACTACAAGTTATGGAAAAGGAAACATGAAAAAGTCATATTCTTTTTAAAAGCTAACTAGATCGCTGATAATTTGTAGATTTTATTTAATCTTATTAGTTTCTGAAGGTTGGTCAACAACTGGCACTGTATACAATGCATTATTCACCGATAAAGTGCCTAATCGTTTACGACTGAGCGTAAGAACAAGAATACAAACATTGATAGTGTTTGCTGTTGCCGCATGGAAACTTTCTATAAGTGTGAGTTGCCCATATTCTTTTTCTAATTATCATTAATTTTCTAATTACAAATACCTTCAGGTGACTCTTTCATCACACAAAAACAGTTGCATGGCTCTAATAGTATGCGAATTAAAGGAGATTTAATATGTTGTTTGTCACCAGTGATTCAATTTATTTTGAGTGTCGCAAAAGAGTTTTAATTTTACACTAATCTTAAGTTTTCAACAGGACAGTGGTGTTCTTGTGAATTTCCGACAGCCACCTTAGGAGTATTGTTTATTATAAAACATTTGTTTGTTAATAATGCGAGTTTACACGTTAATATATGGATCATTCCTAGCTGATTCAGCTGTAAAAGGGAGTGAAATAACATTCATACTCTCGTCGATCTTATTGTTTAGTTCGTTGTGTATAACTTCACATTTAAGTGAACCTGCTGTTAGTTGCAATTCAGGACTAAAAGTTAGAAGTCTGGTTAAGAAAAATGAATACTAGAAAGTACTGGGACTCCGAAAACCGAGTCACTGTACTTGAAATAGAGATGTTCTGATGCCAAGTTTCATAGAACTTTAAGCTGGTGACACAGGTACTGTAGGCAAGTAGTATCTTAAATCACAACCACAATGGGTTGATTTTAATTCGATTTGGCCTTTAACGTTTTACATTTTTATATTCATTAACTAATAGATTCTGGAATAAAAATATCAAAATTATTCAAATGTCTTTGATCAGTAGCAGAGTGAACAGTTTTTCATCCTGTATCACCTATTTCTTTGCAAAGTTTCAATATAACCTTTATAAATATCCGATTTTTAAGTAATGCAAATATTTCATAAACATTTTGTGTGATAATTGTGGTGGAATTATTAAAACAACTCTTAATCACCGTCTCAGAGTGAATTGAAAATTGAAAAAGAATTTAACTAATCTTCTCGCTGTGTATTTCGAACTTTTCTCTAGAAACATGGGTTTGATTTAAAACCAAAATAGGTAGGCGAAAAATACAGAGAATGGATTTGGCTACAGTTCACAGTCTACTGATTAGATTCTTTATATCTATACAAACGTTCTTGCTAGATAAAGGTAGAAATATACACTGACATATTTTTAAAGAACAAAAATCACCTCAGTAATATGCATGGATCTATAATTAATTAAATATAGTCACGAGAAGTGAAAACACTCATAATCATACATCCATTGACCCATGAACAAGTTTATTTCTTTGCTATTTTAAAATATACATACATTTGGCCGTTCGGTAAACTTCAAATAAATTTGTTTAGAAAAATATGACTTTATTCAGGAAACATTCACAGAATATTTTGATTTATAAGCTCCTTTAAATGTAATCATTTGAAAGTTACTCGACGCGTTAAAGGTTTATGGGTTAGGCTGCAAGCCTCACTGATAATTTGATGAGGTTTGGCACTACCTCAATTCTCATACTTAAGCAGCTGCAATGGGATTTGAACTTCAACTCAATGATAGCATTCAGAAATACGTTCCGAAAATGCAACTGGTTTTTATCTCGCGAAACTTGCCAGAGGAACAAAATTTCAGAATGTGTTTGAATTTTTAGGGACTAAAAGCTTAGCGACACTCATAATGTTAAGATATCAGAGATTTATTACGGAGGAGGATTATTGACTTAGTGGCAAATGATTATAAAATAAAAATCTAGGTTGCTATAAGACTTGAAACATAGGCCTCTAAATTACCGACCTCATGTCTTTCTATCTAGCTTCTGATCTCAGTTGATAGAATGACTTGCTGGTAATCCAGCCGTGACCCAAGTTCCCATTTTACCCTCCAACACAAGTCGGTATCAACAATATCAGTCCGCCACTCCGCGGTCATTTCAGATTGTCCTATCGAAAAAATGTAAATATGCTGACTGACTTCATTATGTGAAAGAGTTAAGACATTGAGGGAAACAGTCCTTAAAAATCAAATGAGAGATGGTTACCTAATATGGACTAACCATTTTGTTGAGTGTAACATGAAAACTGAGTTATTTCCATCAAAGGAGACAGTAACTATTTTCATGTTCGTAGTCAAATCAATGTTGGTAGTTAAATCAAATGGTTCGTTAATGTCAAATAGGTGTATACCTGAATGGTTTATCTCAGTATACTTTTGAAACGTAAGATAAAGTGTCACCTACTAACACAACACTCAAAACCTACAAGTATCAACTGATAATCAAGAATACTGAAATTTTTCTCTATAGATTTACGAGACCAGTAAAATCAGCATGCGCTGATAGGAATTATCAATATCGGTTCTCTGGTACTAACAATAATCGTTAAAACGAAATCGTTTATTTCACTAACCAGTCTCTAAGTGGAGAACGTTCTAACATTCAGAGAAAATAAAGCTGATTTAGTTTTTTATTGGATGACTACTGACACAAATGTGGTATTCACTGAAGTTCCGAAGAGGTTTAAACTCATTTTCTGGATTCCAGTGATCATGTAATGAACTACACTGTTTCGTGATTTCATGAACCAAATAATAATAATAATCTCATTTATCCGACGTTATTACTTTGGTAGGTTTTAGACATTTTAGTTGTTCAAAGTTGAATATATGAGTTCATTCATTGATATATTAATTCCAGGTTAATGGAAGTAAACAACATAGGTAGTTAGAAACCAACCACACCAGTCTGCTGAGTCGGGTCATATAAATGCATATAATTGTTTCATTCCTTTTGAATTGTAAGTTTTTCATATTCAACAATGTTTGTTTTATATTTCATGAGTTTAAAAACTTCTGAGCTATGAATACTGTGAAAATTATTCGCTTGCTTTTATCGGAGTTACTCAAGGGATCGATCACCAGTTAACAAATAATTTATTTTTTGACTGATAATACACATTTTCAAGTCTGTGAAATCAAAAGAACATAAGCTGTGACAATTTCTCTTCCTCGACTTAGCTTTGAGTGACATAAGTAGGTACTGAAGAATTAATTCTACTTTGATAATTGTCACTTAATTACTCTAAATATCTATTTCAGTTTAAGGAATAAATTTATAGCGTGTGAATACTATTACAATGTGCAGTGTTAATATATGGATGAATTCTTGGCTAACAACCTGCAGTTGTCCCTTTTTACGATCATTTAATCCCTAAAAAATAGTAGGAACAGTAAAACGGGAGAGAATTTATTGCTAAAATACTGGCCTATTTATATATCTACTGGTAGCCTTGGCATCTCAAAACTGCTGTTGTTACTAAGTTTTGCCAACTTATCCAATCAGATAAATACAGACTGAAAAGTTTTAGCCTATCCTCACTGTTTCTGAACGTTTTCAAGGATTTAGAGTCTACTGAAGGATGTGAGCCATAATACTACACTTCATAAGGAAAAGCGGTGAATCGATGTCATTGTTCGTTAGCATTTTCATTCTAGTTTATTATTTTCATTGAGATTCTGGCCTTATAATGTTACACTTTTTTGTACATATACACATGTATATATATCATCATTTGTGCCACATATCTTCAACTCTTTTTCACTAATTCCCATCCCACTGGACAGTGAATTGATGGTTCGTATCTGACACTAGTTGGTAAAACAAGCAGGGAGTAGATACTTTCGCAAAAAATGTAGTTTTTTCTCGTGAAGACCTGCCTTTAACGAGGTTCTTCCATTTCCGAACAGCGCAGAGATCACACAACAATCAAAATTATCCTCTGGGACTACAAATATTCTCCATCATCTCAAAATCATACGAGCGTTAAAACATATTTCTAGAACACCAATGTTATCACATATATTAGGACTAATTGCAGAGGCAGTAATACAGAGATTTTCCGTTATTCAAACCGAAACTTTAAGTTCAATATGTAGATGACACGTTTGTCATTATCAAGAGATACGAATCAGAAAATGCTTATAAATTATTCGACAAAATTTCCGATGGCATCAAATTCCCAACTGAAGAGAAATCAAATGACAAACTTGCATTTTTAGATGTTCTGATAACTTGAATGGATTTGAGGAATTGGGAATTGAAGTACACAAAAAACTAACTCATTCGAATCAAATCCACAATAACAACAACAACACCCCAACAGCATAGAAAATCAGGTGAATGAAAACAATGTTTATTGAACGAAAACACACTGTTGTACATCAACCCTTCGGAGGAAAGAAGAAAGCTATATGATGATTATTTTCCGGAGGAATGCCTATCCACGCAACTTCATCAAAAGTTGTCTACATAATTCGTTGTCAACTAAGAAGTTAACCTAGAGAACTGTCAAACGAAGTATCCTACCCTGCATGAAGAACGTCTCTAAGATAACGATTAGACTATTAAAGCTTCTGGGAACGTTATATCTCACAAACCCATGAAATCTCTCCAGTCTCCGTTATATAGGCCACAAGATACAATAGAAAAGGAAGACAGATTAAACGTTATCTACAAAATAAGCTACGAAAAACCCTATGTCGGAAAGAATGGTTGCCTTCTTCGCATCCGTCTACATGAACGTCAACTAACAGTGAAGAATCATGACATATTTTCGTTCATACAGAGAGCTATGGATATGGATTTGACTGGAAGAGTGTGAGAACCCTAGATAAAAAAAACACAAATAATGCCTGGGAGTTAATATAAGTGTAAAACTTGGACACTATGGTAGAATGAATTTCGTATTAGATCTGTTTATTTGGTTTATACCATACAGTGATACAATGTTATTCACTTCATGACGTTTCGAGCATAAACTATTTCTCATAATCATATCAATGTAATCACATTACTTTCGACATGATGCAACACCTATACCAGAGATATGGAAAATTTTGCTACTAGTAAAAATAAATCATATGAGGTGACATAACTATGAAAATCAAATGTTGAAAGTTGTGTGATTACATTGATATGATTATGAGTAATGATAATTTATGCTCAAAACGTTATCAAGTAAATAATACTGTATCACTGTGTATTATAAATGAAACAAACATGTCTAACATGGAATTAAATGCCATAAAATTTC